CTATACATGTACCTCTGACGGAAATTGGCCGCAAGGCTTTTAGAGGTAGTGTCGGTTCGTGACAGAGAGAACGCTGATGTTTGGATATGAATTATATGACTCGCTTAGAGTATGTAGTTTCACGAATATGAGAAGCTGGAAATTGATGCATGATCACGTCTTCCTCCCAGGAGTGCATATAATGAAATGTGTTATAATATGAAGACAACATGTCCGCAGTCGGTTTCATGGAATTTCTAGGAATTACATCGTTAAACCCCGTATATAAAATATAAATAACGTATCGCGAAAACGTGTGATTAATGTACCCTGATAACTGAAATATAAAACTCAAACCCTTCAATTATGAATAATATACAACAAAATTGAAACACCAGATAATGAAATAGTGTGTCAAGACCTTCATTGATATGAATATATAACGCCGTAACTTGTATGCGTTTCCTTCAAGTCCAATCTTGCACACACAATTTTGATAAATTGTTCCTGATACGCACATGGGTTCAATTTATGTTGTATACATATTAACATTCAAGTTATTATAATATTCTAGTATTAAACATATAAAACATGATTTGATGCTGAAAAAAAATACGACTATGGCGTATCGCAATATTGGTAATTATTTGGTAAATAATATTAGTCCAAGCTAAGGATATTATATAAAATATTTTCTGAACTTGCTTCATATCCAGCATACCGGAATACAAACTAATCATCTGTTTTGCCAACACTGACTAATTAATCTAGTTTTTTAACTGTAACTGCTGGGAGGTAGGTCCCTGGAGACAGACTCAATAAAACCGTACAGATGCATTCTAAGGGAATACATACAAACAGTCAGCAGCAAACAACAAGTCATTCCTTCTCAATGTAAGGTTTTAAGCAATGATTAATATACACAACTTAACTTTCACATTATAATTATAGTTTTCTCAAAGTCATATATACGAATGTGCTATTGTTTAATGAATATTATTTTTTGTATGTCAAAGATTATTATTTTATATCATACCATACCATAATAACCAACGCTTACGTTTATGGGTTGCGAAAAGCATTCGGTTTTGAAAAAGAAAACTAACGCAATATATAGGGGGTACTCAGCTGGGTCAACATGAAATATTGCAGCATCATTTACTACTGCTGATTACCTGTTCATGATTTTGCTTATAATGTGATTTTGAATACTGGACAAACTTTACGTATCGAAAAACCTTTGTAGTTTTTATATTATCGTTTATGAGTAGCTTAATTGTGAAAGACGTATAACAAAAATGCTAGCTTTTCATATTTACTCTTCTGACATAATTCAATTATAATATACTGAAGAAAACACAGCTTTCTACTAGACTACCCTACTTTTTATTAATCTTCTAATTAGTTGACTTCTGTTTTCAGTAATGTATTTGCCAAGTATGTTCATGACAGGTTCTCAGTCATTATATCATTTCGTGATGTATTAGTATTTAAAAAATGACAGGAAATCATCTTGTGTTTATAGAAGAAATCCTCATATCTCGGGAGAAGTATGAGTTATGCAGTCGATATTTTAAATACATTAATTAAATTGCTCTAAAAGTGTGACGTGTTTCGTCTCCAATACAAATCACGCATAAATATTTTGCCGAAGTCGTGAGTTAACATCTTTTGTTGGTTGTCTATATGTTAGCAAATAGCCTGTAATAACCTTCGACACAAAGGTTATGTTGTATTGGGTTGCCTTTAAGCGCGATAAGTTAAGAGATATATTCTCATAAAATTCTACGGAGCGGTTGTCCTAGCTTGATATATTGACAATTTGTAAAAAATATGTCGATTAGTTTCCATATAAAATTAAATTGATAAATTCTCACGAAGACACGAGAATTAATTGATTACATAAATCATAATTTTATCATGAGTCAGGTTGTCATGGAAACAGTTATTATGGATTGTTAGGTATACTGAAGATGTTATAGATGAAATCACAGGAAATGTAGGTAGAGGTGCGGATCTGGTTGCTATGGAAATTCGTGTATTACTTTAACAATGAACTGACAATGGATTGTGATGAGATTTGTATCGGAGGTTGTTTTTGGAAACGAATACCAATTTAAGTATATTTCGATTGAGATGTGAATAAGGTTGTTAAGAATCAGCAATCAGACAATGATTAATATTTTTTAAATAAAAACAATTTCAAGAGGTTTATTCTCCTTTAAAACCAATTGATTAAAGGTTGAGATCTAAATTTCTTTGGTTTGCAATGGGAATAAAATATTCATTGCCAGGTAACTCGCGGAGGTTATGAAGTAGATCGTTTGTATGAATACATGACTGATAACAAACGACAAAAACGAAGCAATTAACTTACACGTACATTAAACTGTATAGGTAAAAGTAAAATTAAATGGATCACATGGTGTACATGGAGTGGTTTCAGGTGTTTTCAGATATATGAGCACATCCTACTCCACGTGTGGCACCCGTTATATATCTTTCTTGGCCATAATCAAATGACTTTTGTTTGACCCCTGGGGTATACATCAGTTAAGTGACATTGATGGCAACTGAAATCTATGCGTAACAGTGTTGTTGGATTTAGCAATAAGCTCATTATATCTATA